GGCCCTCGCCCCGCCCCCGCCCAGTAAGCCCCGCCCCTCGGCGCGTGCGCACAGTCCTCCTGCCCCACCCCCTCGCGGCCAGCCTAGCTATACCTGGTGGAGGCGGGTTGGGGGCGCGGGAAGGCTGAGCCAATGGGAGAGCAGCGGTGGTATAGGGAGGTGGGCTGGGCTCTCCTGCGCCTGTGGGAATAACATTGCAATTATTTCTGAGGTTGCTCAGCCCCCACGATGGGCTGCTGACGCAGATAGCCCTCTGCGAGCCCCAGGCCTAAAGGACAGTGCGAGTCCACATCAAGCAGTTAGTGCGTAGTGTGTGCCCTGGTGTGGAGGGGGACAGGTGTATGCAAGGGTTGACATTGCGGGGAGGGAAAAGTCCCCAAAAGGCCTCCTAGAAGAGAGGCCTAAAGTGAATCCTAAAGAAGCAATGAGGCTTTACTAAGAGAAACTAGAATGGGCCCTTTAAGGTGAACCCTGGGTGTGTTTGGGTTGTGATAAGTGCAGCTCTTCCTAGGGTGCTGGGAACTAGCACTTGGCAAGGTGGATGGAAAGGGACACTTAAGTCCTTTGTGAATCTGGGTGAACACGTTGAGTCGCTTATATTTGGTTCTAGTAAGAACAAGGGGAGCCGAGTGGCGAGATGGCTCAGCAGTTCAACCTGAGTTTTCCTCCCCTGGACCCACATGGCAGAAGGAGAGATTTGTCTTTTGCAATTTTTCCTCTTAAGTGCAGAGAGAGATAGAATTGAGGGGAGGCTGAGTTTAAAATATATGTTTCAAAGTATGTTGATGCTTTTTGGTTTATGTGTCTACCTTTATATAAATGAATGGTGTTGTAAGAACTCATTGTTTCTTGTTTTTCCTCAACACAGTATCTCAGAGTTTGTGTTAGTTTCTTTCCCATCATTGTCACAAAATACCTGACAGAATCAATGTAAAAGAAGAAAGAGTTACTTGGTTCGCAGTTTACAAGATTTCTGTCCAGATTCACTTGGCCCAATTGCTTTGGACCTGTAGCAACACAGTACATCGTGGCACAGTACATAGCAAAAGATTGTTCACCTCATGGCCACAGAAGAGTGGGGTGGCCAAGATCCCGAGAACAGACCCCAGTGACCTAATTTGGTTCCACCATGTCCAGATAGCACCAAAGCCTGCCAACCAAGCCTTTGAGACATGGCCTTTGGAGAAGATTGAAGATGTGAACACACTAGCCATGTGGCTCTGTACATCAGGAGTGCATTAATCTTGCCACTGATATACAACCTAATACAACTATCAACTCAAAAGTAAACACAGACGATGCTAAGAGGGGCACTAGGCTGGCTCATTGCAGACCTTCAGGAAGAAATGAAGTTGCTGGGTTTGTTTTTACTCTCACATTGCTGTCTAGGATGGCTTTACCCATTTTTGAAGTCCAACCAGTGGTACATTCAAGGAAGAAGAGTCCCATGTCCCCACTCCCTATGTTAATATCTGGTGTTACCTGATGTCCCGATTTATAGTAATATGATGGCAGTGTCATTTTGTAATTTTTGTGTTTTTGATGATGTATTGACTATTTTCCATATATTTAACCACTGATTTTTTTCCCTTCTGTGATTTACATCTTTTGCCTACTACTATAGGAAATCTACTGGATTTCCTATAATTTTTCTGAATGAATTAGAGAAGTTTCTTGTATTTTCTAAATAATAATTCATTAACTTTGAGCATCACAAATCTTTCTCCCAATCCTTAATACATCCTGTTAGCTTCGTCTTTGCTATCCTATACTGAGTGGGAGAGATTTCATTTTGATATTTCCAAATACACCAAATATATTTTAGTCTTGTAGAATATATATTTTGGGGTCCCATTTTTTTGTTTGTTGGTCTTGTTTTTTGTTTGGGAATTTTTTGAGACAGGGTCTCTCTGTAGCCCTAGCACTGAGGCTGGAACTCACTATGTAAACCAGACTGATCTCAGTCTCACAGAGATCCACCTGCCTCTGCCTCCCAAGTACCGGGATCAAAGGTGTACCTCTACACCTGGATATTGCGGTCCTATTTAAGAATTATTTTTAACCCAAGGTCACAATATAGTCTCCTATATATTCCTTTATCTGGTTCATGTCTCCAACTATCACAATTAGCTCTTAAGCCACGTGGAGCTTACCGTAGAAGTAAGT